AATTCGACTCACGTTTTTGAGGGTAATGGAACAACAAAACCTTCAGTAAAAACGCTCTACGTCCTATAAACTGAGGCTCGCCGTGCCTGAAACACGAGTGCCGAAGGCAAATTGTTTACCATTTATTATTACGACACTTTACACTGAAATGCGGGTAGTTTCAACAAAAATATTGTATATTTCCATTCAAGTAGTTATTCAAGTCAATTAGGAGGGAATATTATTGTAATACAACAGTTTTTTAACTAAACCATTCGAAAAGTGATTACAGTAACATCTTTTGAACGAAAGAAAGCGAAAGTCATTGTTTTCGTCACGATTTTATCCCACTTTCCACTGTAATATGTACGTAATTTCAGCAAAAATATTACATTTCCGTGAATGTATTATATCAAGCACAGTATGAATAGAATATCATTGTAATATAACAGAATTTTAACCGAAAACTATTAAAAAAACGAGTAACATCTCAAGAACATCGGAAGCTTAGGTAAAGTCTTTTGTTTTCGTCATGTATTTTATCCTACTGTATTTTACATTGAAATACATCACGTTTCAGCAAAACTACTATTTATTTCCGAGAACATATTCATTCATGCGCAGTTTAGGTAAAATATACGTGTGATGTAATAGTTTTTTAACTGAAAGCGATTCGAAAAACACGTACCCTCTAGCCCTGTTCAAGGAGAGGACTGGAAGAAGCTGCTTGGTGCTGCAGACGATGAAAAGGAAAATGATTTTGATGGATTTTAATGAAAATATTCAGAAAGATGGTATCGTGGTATTTGTTCAAGTCAATTAGGATAGAATATTATTGTAATACAACAGTTTTTTAACTGAAAACCATTCGAAAAGCGATAAAGGTAACATCTTTTGAACGAAAGAAAGCGAAAGTCATTGTTTTCGTCACGATTTTATCCCACTTTCCACTGTAATACGTACGTCATTTCAGCAAAAATATTACATTTCCGTGAATGCATTATATCAAGCACAGTATGAATAGAATACCATTGTAATATAACAATATTTTGAGTCCTACTCTTTCCATTTACAGAGTACTGTACAAGCCCATAATAATGGCTCCTAAAGTATATAAACTTCGTTGTGTGAAGAGAAAGAAGAACACGTTGAAATTGAGTGACAAACTTGAAATAATTAAGAAACTAGAACGTGGTGTGAGCAATACTGTTCTAATGGAAACATACGACATTGGAAAGTCTACAATTTATGATATAAAAAAGGCAAAGAAAATTTTTTTAGAATTCACAGCTTTTTCATTAAAACTGCTCGTTTTGATAAATGAAGCATGCTATATTTGCTAATGAATAAACTATCAAAATGTACCTGTTCATCTCTTCTTTATTCCTCCTTAAATTTGAATTTTTAAAGTACTGTACTGCCTGAGAAACCTGAAAATCCGAAAATCTGGACCGACCCAATCCCCAAGCAGTCCGGATTTTTGGACTTCTACTATATCTACTGCAGGCAGTTGCTGACCACAGGAAATCATTCCGTAATGCCCTCAAGCAGACCTTAGTGGGCGACAAAGAATGAGACTGGTCCTCATGCGACCCCTGCCTTGAGCAGCCAATACCCACTTAGACTAAGTGGGGGGGGGGCCCAGGCTTGGGGGCTAGGAAATGATGTGTTATGAACATTAAGCATAGGCATAATATTGTTAAATTTAATTTGACTTGAGCAACCTCTAATTATTAAGATATCTAAAAAAATATGTTACAGGCAATGTTTCTACCCCAAATGAAAACTTTTGCCAGGGTCTGTGACAAAAAAAGGCAAATTTTGTTTTTTGCCCCAAAATAAGGACCACCCTAATAAATAAAATATATATATTATTATTATTACATATATATATATATATATATATATATATATATATATATATATATATATATATATATATATATATATATATATATATATATATATATATATATATATATATATATATACTGTATATATATATATATATAAATATATATAAATATATATATATATATATATATATATATATATATATATATGCTAAGAGCAGCACCCCACTTAACGCGGTCAATAGAACCCAGAGGGTCCCGTGTTAAGTGAAATCCGCGTTAAGTGAACAACAGAACATATGGGATTAATTCCAATAGAAACCGGCCCGACCCCCAAACTCCACTTTTTGAAGACACATAACTATGTTGTAGTAAAAATAACATCTTAATTTTATGATGGTACATGCACACAATTAATACTTAAGAGAAACAGAGAAATACAGTCGCCAAGTTAATGTCCATTCAAATAATGGACTCAACTCCTCCCCTCTTTCTCACACTACACTGCTGGCTCTTCCTCTCTCTGGAGAAATTTTGGGGAAACCACTAAATTTTAATAAATAATACCTCAAACTAAAGTTAGATAATACAATTGACATTGCTGGATTCCTTGTAAGACCAGGAATATTTTGAATATAAATGTCATATATTTTGCACAAAAGATAACATATTTACTCAGAGAAAACATTTTATCTAAAATTTGTATGCCTAATGCAAAATATATGATGTTTATATTCAAAATGATCACCAAATTATAAGAATTCCAGCAATGTAAATTATATTCTGGCTGGGTAATTTGTATGAATTTTATGAGCTAAAACAAATATCTTCAGTTAATAAAAAAAAAATATTCTTCACAACACTATCTGTCAATCAAAGTACCCCACCTTGCCTCCCCCCTCTTCCAACCGCAAGGTCCGTCCCAACCCTCCCCCCCACCCCCCACCAATCCTCCCTTCAAGAGATGTTGGGTGAAAAAAATAAATTTTAACATTTTGTATTAAATAATACCTCAGATTAAAGTTAGGATAATATATATATACATACATACATACATACATACATACATACATACATACATATACATATACATATACAGTATTACCCCGCCTAACGCGGTTTCACTTAGCGCGTTTTACCGTATACGCGGTGCCTCGCCAGAGCTGAACTTTCACTTAACACGGATTTTTTCCACATATACGCGGTGAGTGTCCGGCTCGAGACGCTATTTTTAGATTTGCCCACCCGCCACCCTGCCTGACTGCCTGTTTTAGCTCATAAAATTCATACAAATTACCCGGCCAGAATATAATTTACATTGCTGGAATTCTTATAATTTGGTGATCATTTTGAATATGAACATCATATATTTTGCATTAGACATACAAATTTTAGATAAAATGTTTTCTCTGAGTAAATATGTTATCTTTTGTGCAAAATATATGACATTTGTATTCAAAATATTCCTGGTCTTACAAGGAATCCAGCAATGTCAATTATATTATCCTAACTTTAGTTTGAGGTATTATTTATTACTAATAAGTTAAATACAGTATTCTGGTTTTCCCACACATCTCCTTGGGATGGTTGGTGGGGGGTGGAGGGGAGGGAGGGACCGACCGACCATCTGTTACTCTGTGAAGAATATTTTTTTTTTATTAACTGAAGATATTTGTTTTAGCTCATAAAATTCATACAAATTACCCGGTCAGAATATAATTTACATTGCTGGAATTCTTATAATTTGGTGATCATTTTGAATATAAACATCATATATTTTGCATTAGACATACAAATTTTAGATAAAATGTTTTCTCTAAGTAAATATGTTATCTTTTGTGCAAAATATATGACATTTATATTCAAAATATTCCTGGTCTTACAAGGAATCCAGCAATGTCAATTATATTATCCTAACTTTAATCTGAGGTATTATTTAATACAAAATGTTAAAATTTATTTTTTTCACCCACTCTTCTCTTGAAGGGAGGAGTGGTGGGGGGTGGGGGGGAGGGTTGGGACTGACCGCGCGGTTGGAAGAGGGGGGAGGCAAGGTGGGGTACTTTGATTGACAGATAGTGTCGTGAAGAATATTTTTTTTTTTTATTAACTGAAGATATTTGTTTTAGCTCATAAAATTCATACAAATTACCCGGCCAGAATATAATTTACATTGCTGGAATTCTTATAATTTGGTGATCATTTTGAATATAAACATCATATATTTTGCATTAGACATACAAATTTTAGATAAAATGTTTTCTCTAAGTAAATATGTTATCTTTTGTGCAAAATATATGACATTTATATTCAAAATATTCCTGGTCTTACAAGGAATCCAGCAATGTCAATTGTATTATCCTAACTTTAGTTTGAGGTATTATTTATTAAAATTTAGTGGTTTTCCCCCAAAAATTTCTCAGAGGGAAGAGCCAGCAGTGTTGTGTGAGAAGAGGGGGAGGGAGTTGAGTCCATTATTTGAATGGACATTAACTTGGCGACTGTATTTCTCTATTTCTCTTAAGTATTAATTGTGTGCATGTACCATCATAAAATTAAGATGTTATTTTTACTACAACATAGTTATGTGTCTTCAAAAAGTGGAGTTTGGGGGTCGGGCTGGTTTCTATTGGAATTAATCCCATATGTTCTGTTGTTCACTTAACGCGGATTTCACTTAACGCGGGACCCTCTGGGTTCTATTGACCGCGTTAAGTGGGGTACAACTGTATATATATATATATGCTGATAACCACAAGGAAAGAAGAAAACACTAAGTTCCCAAGCGCTTTCGTCTAATTCACCCCTGAAGATGTGAATTACACGAAGGCGCTTGGGAACTTAGTGTTTTCTTCTTTCCTTGTGGTTATCAGCATATACCTAGATCATGCGCATCTACAGTGATTTACTTGCATATATATATATACTGTATATATATTTTGGAGGGCAGCACTGGATGAATGAGGGGAGGTTAAAACCAGCAGAGGGCAGCTAAGTACTGTTTGGTTGATGATTGCTCCTAAATAATGTATATCTAGTACTGTACACTAAAGACAGAATATATGAGTGTTTGTGTTGTTATTGATTATAGCCCCCAACCTGTACCTTGGCAGGATAGGCCTTGCTGAGTTAAAACCAAATACGTATAAATATTTTTTATCATTTTAGAGAGATCCATGGTCGCCTGCGTTCCTGGCAGGGTTTAGATAATGGGGGGCTGGTAGGAGCCTTGAGTGGAAGTGTTTCAGGCCACTCAGGTTCTCAACACTCCAGTACTGGCCCCTCCAACAACACTGGCTCAACCAACCTTTCTTCAAATACTCATCCTCCTCATCTCCATCGGCCATACCACCCTGGACCACACTATCCTCCAACTGGGCCTCCTCATTCACCAGCATATTCTGCACCTTATCAACCAATTCCACCACCTGGGATGGTACCTGGATTGTATCCACGTCTGTCAGCACCTATGGGGCACCCACAACCAGTGTACTTGGCCCAACGTAGTAATGTGATGGGTGGCTCTCCAGTTACTATTAGAGTAGCTCAGCCACAGTCTATGAATATGGGAACAGAAACCCAGTTGGCTAATCTCTGAACAAATCAAGACATTTGAAAGTCAGTCAAGAGACTGGGTGAATATTTGTGAATCTCGACATGTTTCTTGTATGAAACTAACTTACTATTGGGAGTCATACAGTGTGCTAGAAATTAATTTTGAGAATTCTCTGTGAATATTTGAAACGAAATCCTATGAATTAATATCTGTGAGACTTCCAAAGAAGCTGCAATAATATCTTCACCTTTTCCTGAGTGTTTCATAGATTAGAAACTTGAGTGTCAAGAAACTGTTGTGCTATTGTTTAGATACTCATAAATACAGGATCTATTTGTTTACAAATGTTGTGGAGAGAGATGACTTGTTACCATAGTCTTTAAACAGACTTTGAAAAACATTAGGGAAAGAAAAATATTCCTCTGTTTTGTTTCAGCCATGTCATGATACACCGACTCGTATCTGCCATTTAATAATACGAATCAGATATATGCATGAAAATATGTTTTTGTGCAACAGAGCTTAATTTTTTTTACAACCATTATGTCTAAAATGGCTTCAATTTCACAGTTCAGTGATTGTCATACAATTTTTAGAATATCCTCAGAAATATTTCTTAGGAGGAGTACTGTAATTGATTGAAAGTGTTTAATTGACTTGACTAAGTGAAATTCAAAGCAGTCTAAAAATATTAAAATTAAATGTTGCATATCCTACATAAGACATTGGATAAAATTACATACTAAAAATTATTATAAAAGATTGTTTGGGGACTGTTCAAGTTGTGTGCAAATGTGAGGAGCTTTGTAAAATGAACTATTTTTGATGCCCATGCTGTTATGCACTCTTCATGCTTGACAATGCTGTCATCAAGTAACTAAGTCAATATATTTGCTTAAATGCATTGAGCTTTAATGTGATATTTTTATCAAATTTCTTCATTTGTTTAAATTAGCTGGTAATTCATTTTCATTCGTGGTCAAATGATAGCCAACATAGATATAGGATCTTCTTACTTTTTGCTGTTGCAGTATATTTTATCTTTTGGCATTTAATCTCAACACTCATCTCTTAGCACAATTGCATTATACTTTTTGAAAAGCTTGCAAACCAGAATATAGTCCGTCAACAAATTACTGGTCAGTTGTGTACAGCAAACTGTGTTTGGTGTTATTGTCGTAAGTCAAACCAAGTAAATTTGTGTCAAGCTTGATGTGTGAGACCAGATAGGTAATTCAACAAGTATTTGGCTACTCCTCAAGAATTCCATGAATATTGGCTGTAAGGCATGGATGATATTAGGGATTTTCAAATGGTTTGATGAAAAATTAATTCCTTTGAAAATCCCTAAATTGCATAGTCAATGGTTATATTTAAGTAGAGGCTTTCAATTGTTTATAATTGATTATTTTACCCCCCAAAAAAAAAAAAAATTGCAAGTGAAATATATTAAGGCTATTGATTTTCAGATAAAAAGGTCAGTCTTAGAGTTCATCTGACTGGTCTTAAAAACTCTATTAAGATGTTAAGAAAATGTAAATAGGACTGTAGATTATGCTATTTATAACAATAACAAATCATTTTTAAGAATACCACAACCAAGTCTTTTTGTACAAGCAAGCATGTGGTAAATATATAGTAAAATAATTGTTTTATTATCCTCTTTACCTTTCAAGCTCTAGACATAAATATTGTATTAAAATTTCTGTATGTGGTTGTTCCTTTGTGTTTTTTTAATTTTGTTTGCCTTTCTAATTTTGTAATGTCCACTTGATTCCTTTCAAGTGAGGATACATAAGATTGATCTTGAAATTTCATTTTATGGCCGAACACACCTTAAGTAATTAATGTAAAGCCAGCAAGTCTATGGCATTGAGAAGTCTCATCTCATGGCTGTAACTAAATTAAAGAGCTACCAGTAATTAAAATCAATATTCCCAATCACATAAGTCCCCTAAAAGTGAGCTCTGGGAAGTGTAAGGCTCAAGACCAAAAATTTCCCTATTCAAGTTGGCAACATAACATTCTGTAAGTGTTTTACATTGCCAATAACAGAATGCTCCAGGAACAACAAACATCTTCATTTTGTACTCCCCCTGAGCATCTCCAAGG